ACTTTATTTTCCTGCATAATTACTTTATTCCTTATACTTAATAATTGTCTAAGTATGTTTTTAGCATTAGAACATTTCATATATACTACTTATGTATACTTACCATTAACTCAACCCTAAATCTTTTTTACCTCGAAATACTTATTTTCATGAAATATTTTATTCGTTTTACTTTCTTGAGCTTCCTGACCTGACCCGGCCTGGACCAGTGGCCCTTCATATCTGTTATGCAACTACCTTCTTAGATTCCCTTTATTTTCCTTGAATTAAAATTTCAGTTTTCTGTATTTCAGGTCTTCCTCTTGGTTTCTTTCTTCTTTTTGGTGGAATACATTCTCTGGAAGCATTCTGAGAAAGGGTATTAAAAGTAAATATTTTGAAATGTTGATATCTGGAAATGTCTTTTATTTTCTCCTTTCACGTTTTTTGGTAGTTTGATCGGGTATAATATTCTAGACTACAAATTATTTTTCTTTGGAGTCAGAAACATACAATGGGGTAAAGACAGTCTATTTAACAAATGGTGTTGGGGAAATTGGATAAATATATGCAAAAAAATGAAAATAGACTGCCTTCTTACATCATACACAAGAATAAACTCAAAATGTAATGTAGACTTAAACCTAGACTTAAAAACATAAAAATTCTAGAAGAAAATATAGGCAGTAAAATCTTACACATTTCTCATAGCAGTATTTGCTCTGATATATCTCCTCTGGCAAGGGAAACAACACGACAGAATAAATGGGACTACATCAAACTAAAAAGGTCAAAGGATCCTTGGTTCGATTCCCAGTCAGGGTACCTGCCTGGGTTGTGGGCCAGGTCCCTGGTGGGGGGTGTGTGAGAGGCAACCACACATTGATGTTTCTCTCCCTCTCTTTCCCCTTCCCTCCCCCTCTCTCTAAAAATAAATAAATAAAATCTTTAAAAAAGCCTTTTGCACAGCAAAGGAAACCATCAATAAAATGAAAAGACAGTCCAGTGAATGGGAGAATGTAATTGCCAGCGATACTTGTGATAAGCGGTTAATATCCAAAATTTATAAGGAACTTATAAAACACAAAAAGTATCCAATTAAAAAACAGGCAAAGGATCTGAGTAGACACCACTGCAAGGAGGACATACAGAGGGCCCATAGACATATGAGAAGATGCTCAATGTCACTAATCATCAGAGAAATGCAAATTAAAACAAGGAGATACCATCTTACACTGGTCAGAATGGCCATCATCAATAAATCAACAAACAACAAGTGCTGGTGAGGATGTGGAGAAAAGGGAACCCTTGTGCACTGTTGGTGGGAATGCCGACTGGTGCAGCCACTGTGGAAAACAGTATGGAGTTACCTCAAAAAGTTAAAAATGGATCTGCCTTAATGACCCAGCTATTCTGCTTATGGGACATATCTGAAGAAACCCAAAACATTGATTCAAAAGAATATGAGCACCCCTAAGTTTACTGCAGTTTTATTTATAATAGCCAAGATTTGGAAGCAGCCCAAGTGCCCATCAGTAGATGAGTGGATAAAAAAAATTGTACTGTGCCCTGGCTGGGTAGCTCATTTGGTCCCAATATGCCAAGGTTGTAGGTTTGATTCCCTGGTCAGGGCACATTCAAGAATCACCCAGTGAATGCATAAATAAAGTGGAACAACAAATCAATGTTTTTTTTTTTGCTTTGTTTTTTAAAGCTATGGTACATTTACACAACAAAATACTACTTGGCTGTAAAAAAGAAGGAATTCTTACCCTTTGTGACAGCATGTTGGGCCTGGAGAACATTATGTATGCTAAGTGAGATAAGCCAGTCAGAGAAAGATAAGAATTGTATGATTTCACTCATATGTGGAATCTTATTAGTAAAATAAACTAACAAGCAAAATAGAAACAGACTTATAGATAGAGAACAAACAGCTAGTTGTCAGAGGGGAGAGGGGTTGTGGGACTGAGTGAAAAAGGTGAAGGGATTAAGCAACAAACAAAAACCCATCATAGACAGGTAACAGGTGATTAGCAGAGGAAAAGGGAGGTGAGGGAGGTAGAAGAGGGTATTGGGGGGATCAATGCTGATGGAAGGAGATAGGACTTGGGGTGTGAACACACAGTACAGTACACAGATGATGTGTTATAGAATTGTACACCTGAAACCTATATAATTAACAATGTTACGCTAATAAATTCAATAAAAATTGAATAAATGTTTTCCTTTGAAGTTTGTCACTCCATTGTCTTCTGGTTTCTACTATTGTTGCGCAGACTTTTTTTCCCCACCCCTCTGGCAATTGGAAGTTTTTTTTTTGTTGTTCCCAGTGTTCTAAAAGTTCATGATGATTTGTCTTGATTTCGCTGTATTTTCATTCATTGTATTGGGCCATTTCCATATGGCAACTTAAATCCTGACGTTCTGGGAAATTTTCCTGAATTATTTTATTGATTATTTCTTTCTTTCTGGTTTCTATTATTTGAGTTAATTAAATCTCCTGAACTGAATATCTGTCTACCTTTCTTCTGTATTTTCCATCTCTTTATACTTTTATTTAACCTTCTTTGGTTAAGGGGGATTTCATCACTTTTCTATCTCTTCTCTTGTTTTTCATTTCTACTCTCACAGTTTAGTTTTTCAGAATCTTGTTGTTCTCTTAATGTTTTTATTTCCCACAGCATCCTGTTTTTGTTTCATACTTGAAATATGCTGTTTAACTGAGTGTATTATTATCATTATCATTACTATTTAGAATCTTTTTCTCATCTACATAGGCTCTCTTCCCGTCAGGTTTTATTGATTGATTGTTTTGGTCTTTGCACTTCATACTAGAATTTTTTCATCTGATGTCTGACCATTTTATCGAGTGGAGGATGAAAGTGCCTACAGGAAGGCCTTTGTAGTTTAATGTTACTTGCAAAATATTAGGTGAACTTTAGAGTGAACTAGCTGCCTCATTTATTGGGAGAACTGTGATGGTGTCTGTAGAGTTTTCTTCTTAGGCTTGTGAGATTCCCCAGAGACTCTTTCAGCCTCCTGACTAGCTAACAATTTTCTGGGAGCTGGATGGGGACAACGGGGAATCTCAGTTTTCAGTTTGCAACCTTCCTTTTAACCCCCTGCTGTTGGTTGTACCCTCATCCTTCATGGTGCACGAGGTTGGTTTAGGATAGCCTGTGTTTTACCTTCTCCAGAAACCAAAATGATTCTTCTGTGGGGTGGAGGAGTTGTGGTTGCTCAGTGGCATGGAGGGAAATAGGAGCTGGAGGGGTTTAATTGCTTCTTAAATCATCTTTAGCCAATTCATCTTTACCTGCCTCCCCCCAACTTTCACTTCCAAAGTTAATTTGTGTCCCCAGTTACTAAGTATTTTAGGATTCTTGGTGTAACTCAGGTTGGGTCCTAATTGCCCTTATGGCAGGGGTGGCAAACTCATTTTCACTGGGGGGCCACATCAGGCTGATTGTTACCTTCAAAGGGCTGAAGTAACTTTATAAATGTACACATGGATATACATGTGTTTGTAAAATTACATGTACATTTTATACATGTATCTATACATATATGTGTATAAATGTATGCATGTGTATACATGTATTTTTAAAATTGTATAAAATTGTATATTTATACATTTATAAATGGTATAAAATGTATATACATGTATACATTTATAAAATTTTATATAATTTGTATACAATGTATACAAATTATATAAAATTATGTTTATAAATACAATTATAAAATTGTATAAATTTAGGACTGTATAAATGTAACTACTCCTTCACAGTTAAGGAGTTGAAATCACATTCAGCCCTTTGAAGGCAACTGCAAGGCTGATGTGGCCCCCCGGTGAAAATGAGTTTGACACCCCTGCCTTAGGGCCAGTTTAAGATTAAAATACATTGAGTCTTCTCAGTCAGTTACCATTCACCTTTTTGCCTTACAACTTCTTAGATGATGTTGCTGTTGTCTTTTCTCCTACTTATTCTTGTGGTGCCATGCCTTTTTAAACAGTCTTTGACTGTAGTTTCAAGATAGAGTGAAATTAGATGCACATGTTTAGCCCACGGTCTCGTTCAGAAGCTCCGGTGTAAGAAGTGCTCATGCCCACGTGGAAGGTCACAGCAGTGCACAGGGGCGTGAGTGACGCAGGGCGAAGTCATCCTGTGCCCTCCCTACACACCCACTGCCCGGAGCGGTCACCGCTGTGGCCTTCAGGAGGTTTTTATTTACATTTTTATAATAATGCATGTTATTTAAAGATCACAATGAATTTTACTGTATAAACATATATGGTGTATATATGCTATGTATATTTAATATATGTTGAAATTATGGAGTTCCATATCAATTTGTACATCAGTTATGTGTACATGTCTGAATTTTTAAAACTGTTTTAAATGTACTTTTTCTAAAATCTCATGCTGGATATTGGCTTCTTATTCATCTTTTAATATTATTACAATATTACTATAAAACTACTGTATTACAATTTACTATAAATATTCAAATATACATATTTTCACTACTTGTTATAGTATATTTTTAGTTTAATTCTTAAAAGTATAATTGCTTAGTTGAAGGATATGTGTACTTTTTTTTATCATGATGATATGCCACATTGTATTTCAAAAAGGCTCTCTCTCTGAATAGTATATAAAAGTGTCTTTTTTTACATCCTGTGTGGCTTGGTTATTATTAAGCTTTAACATTTTTGGCATTTTGAAGAGTGAAAAATGCTATCCCCTATTTTTAATGTGCTTGTCCTGATTATATGTGAGGTTAATCATGCTAGTTGGACATTGTTTTTTTATGAGATGGATATTCAATTCAGTTAGCCATTATTTTTTGGATTATTTATCTCTTCCATGTCAGAAGGTATAAACAATAGAAATAAACTAGTGTATAGAATAAATTAAAATTTTATTCTGATTTTAACTTTAAATAGATCACGAATTAGATTTTTATTTTCATGTATGATATGCTATTTAGGTAAAATGTATTTCTATTTTCAGTGTTCCACCAAAGAATTTTTCTTGATCGTCAAAACCCTTTGTCACCTGAAGTCAGAATTTCAAGCATTAATACCCGCTGTTAATTCCCACGTGCAGTCAGCCTTGCTCCAGACAGTCCTTTTAGAAGTCCCTGAGCTCCTCAGTCCAGTGGAGCATTACTTTAAGATACTTAATGAACAAGCTGCCAAGTAAGTAGCAGATTCTGAGTTCTTTCTTTCCAGCAGTGCAAGTCTTAATTTGCTTGTCCAGTGCATTGGCCATTGATGTGTGTGTGGATTTTTAAGCTTCACTGAAAGTAGTGGAAGGAATTGCATGTGGACTAGAGTTGTGACCGGGTACTAAAGGCTCTGTGTTACTGCTGGAAGTAACACTTTGCTGTGTAAAATCTAGGCAGTTCATCACCTAGTGCTTGCTCAGGTATCGGATGATGAAAATACGGAGTCCAGAAAGAGCAAGCAGAAGCAGTACTCATTTGCTAGAAATCCAGAGAGGGTCTGCCGTATATTTGTAAACTGCCAAAGCAAGGTTATCCCTCAATAAGTAGTCATTCTATAATTCATCCCCCAAAGAACTCTATATAAAAAAAAAGGATTTGACAGTATTTTATGTTTCAGTTTATTTTCTGAATAGGCAAACAACAAATATTTAAATTTATCCCTTAGTTTTACCATTGGAATCATGAACTTGGAAAATGAAAATGATGTTAGGGTAACTTTATCTGTCTTAAAAGAAATTAAGAAACGTATCCATAAGTATTTAGTGGCAGTTTTCCATTTTGCGTTTTCATTATGCTGTGAAAAATAATTAATAACTGGTATAAGTTATATGCTTCAATGTATATATTTCCTTTTTTTCCTTTTTTAGAATTGGGGATAAAACTGAGTTATTCAAAGACCTTTCTGACTTCCCTTTAATAAAAAAGAGGAAGGATGAAATTCAAGGAGTAACTGACAAGATCCAAATACATTTGCAAGAAATAAGAAAAATACTGAAAAATCCTTCTGCACAATATGTGACTGTATCAGGCCAGGAGGTGATGTTAAAATTTTTATTTGCATTAGTTTTTCTTGGTAAAAAAGCTGTTTTAAAATATAAATAAAAATATGAGGAAAGGATGAAACTTTTTTTCATATTTTCAGTTTTATTCCTTAGAAATTTGTAATACCTTGTTTTACTAAGGATTATTTTAATACATATTTTGTTTGTTTATTTATTTAATAAGTATTTTGTTTGTTTATTTACTGTAGTAAATAAACTTGGTAAAGTCATGCAACTTAATATTGCATGTCTTTTAATATTATCTGTTGAAATTAGGCTTTAGATCCCTGGTTGGGTAGCTCGATTGGTTAGAGCATGGTCCCAATGTTGCCAAGGTCTGGGTTCAGTTGCAGTCAGGGCACCTACAAGGTTTAATTGTGGTCAGGGCACCTACGAGGAATGGATGCCTAAGTGGTACAACACATCGATTTCTCTCTCTCTCTCTGTTCACTCCCCTTCCTCTCTCTCCCCCAAATCAATTTAAAAAATCATATTGTAGAATCTTGATTATTGTAAATAGTAACTTACAGAATTAATTTACCACAAATCTAGGAGAGAGAAGTTAGTCCTTGACCCTGTGCTTGCAGATGATGAAATGATATCACACAGTGACTGAATGGCAGGGCATCCTTTGAAGTGAGGAGTTTAGGTGTTAAGAAACAGAAAAATAAGAAGTAGAAAAATAAAAACCAAAAACTATAGTGAAAACCTACATTAGTGAGTCTTCCTTGGGATTTTGGTGCTGTTTAGAATGTGTTTGTTATTCGTACCTCTGTTTCAAGGTTGATACTAATTCTGGATGAGAACCGTGAAAAACTGCGCTTTTTAAGCCGGGTTGTTCCTTTTGGTCCTCTTCTGAGTCTTGAGGCAATGCCTCTTCGGTCTTTGTTTGATAAAAGATAAAGGTTCTGGTGGAAGAATTTCAGAAACTCTTCTTTGTTAAAAATAGCAAAGGAAGATATTTGTGAATAATTCCTATAAAGTGAACATTTTATTGGGGATTTTAAAAGTAGATTTTTGTCTAGGAGACACCAGCTTTCAAATCAAATTTTAGATATTTACATCACTTTGTATATTTAGCCAAAAGATTGTTGATTTATGTGAGTATTTGAAATAAGCAACTCTGTAGTAAATTATAATATTTATTAGTGTAATGCCATTTAATAGACCATTGATGAAGTCAGCCTGTCTTCTGGGCTGAATTTATTAAGATGTGATACTCAGGCAGACGTTTTACGGTGTGCTCCACGTTGTGCTCTGTGGAACAGAGAAGTTATTTGGCAGTATTTATATTTCGTTTTTCCCCCTGAACAGGCAAATACCAAACATTTCATTGTATGTCTTGGTTGTACCATACAATCACGACCTTGCAAAGTGACAAGTGACCTTAGTGCCACTATTCTGGCTATTTATATTGAAATGAGATGATCAAAACTGCTCAGTGGCATTAATAAGAGCTATTCAGTAGAGAAGCGATGGCCTGAAACTGCAGTGGGGAAAGCTGAGGTTTGGCACCCACACGCCGTGCGTCCTGGAAGGGCACCTCTGTCATGAGGCTGCTGTGAAGACCAGCTGTGTCGAAATACGTGGATGTGCTTTCTGATCATAAAGCACTACACAGATGTTACTCATATAATAATGATAGAAATGTAGTTACCCTTCATCAACCACTTGTTAAAGTCTAGATGATGCTGGGCACTTTGCGTACATTACCTGATTTAATCGCGGTAACAACACAGGAAGGGGTTACTCCAGTTTTGCTGGAAGGAAAGCTGGGGTAGGGAGGTGAGTTACCCTAGTCGGGAGCCCCGTCCACCCCAGTCCTGCCTGACTCCAGTGTTTCTGCCTCGTCCTTACTTCTCTCTACTCACAGATGTTACCTCAAGGGATTATCAGTGTCAGGGATTTCATTTGATAAAATACAGACGTTTTAGAGTTCGTACTGTTCAAACCAAAATAAAGCTTAAGTCTTGAGAAGACAGTCCTCGATTCAGTTGATAGTTTTCAAGGAAAAATGATCAGGAATTCATAAAGGATACTGAATTAGTTATTCTTTATCAGCATAGCATTGAAGTTTAAGAAAAGGAATGGAGATGAAGTGATTGGATTACAAAAATTTAGGGAGGGAGGTAAATTATCTTATAATTAACCTTTACTAGGTTAAAGTGATGAATTTGAAGTAAGAAATTTTCTTAGTATTAACAGTAGGATTTTTAAAAACCTCGAGAATTTTAATAGTACAAATTAATGTAGAATCACTGTTATAACATTTTTGAGAATCAATGATTCTTTTCATTTAAATGAATACCAAATGAATTCTAAATATTCAGCATTGTTAGATGTGTTAAAATTTGTGCTAAGGGTATCAGCAGATTATTTTGAAAGACTGAAAGCACTAAGAACAGACTTCATCAAATATGCTTACCTCTGAGAAGTGAAGGAGGGAGGGGGTAAAGCCCTTATTTTATGGACATGTGTTTCCATTTTATACCCTTTTTTTCTCTCTGAAGTTTTACTTCTATACAATAACTTCTGTAATAACTTTTATAAGCCTATTTATAGCAGTCCCACATGGTACATGGATCTTATTATCACTTAAAATAGATAAGTAGACAAACTGTCAAGCCAGGATTACTTCTGACAACATTCATTTTTCACCGCTGTTCGCAGTTTTTATATACTCATTAGGCTACCGAGCCTTATTGACTATGGTGCCTTATTGTCTGACTCTGACAGTGTTTGTTTATAAGGAAATGATGAAAGCAGAAACTGACATAGCTTTGCATAGTTCACTGCTTCTGTGATAGTCTCTCATATTTCAGGTATATAGAGAATTCTCTCCTAACTACGAATTAAATATAGAATGGATGTGGGGTGATATTTAGATTTGAGGCAATATTCATAAGTATTATTCTTCAGGAAAAGGCATTTGGGAGAAAGTCTTTAGAAAATTTGTGCTAATTCACAGCATGCAGCCCATCCAAGTACTTGCTTAGTGTGTTTAAGAGGCGGAAAGCATTCTGTTAAATCTTACTTGTATATTAAAAAAATAGTTGAAAGTTCTTGAGAAAGAAAAGGGGAGAGGGTTGGGATAAGGGTGGTGTTGGGGAAAACAGAAAGCATTTCTAAGGTAAGAACTGCAGCTGACTTGGCGGCAACGCCAGCTCAGTGGTGCCGCGGCCACATTGGAGTAACAGTCTCTGATGTGTAACCAGGGCAGAACTGCGTCCAGGAGGAGCACGTGCAAGATTGCCAGAATGAATCAAGGCAAACTTCTCACACCAGCACCTAAGAAGCAAAGTCAGGAACTGCAGAGCAGGGGAAGTTGCTCTGAGAACTCTCAGATTTCTGAAATATATGTTAATTTCCCACTTTAGTTGGTTTTCTTTTCTCTAGCAATGAAGTCTTTGAACAAGAGGCCTCTATGTCCATTCTTAGAACATTTGTAAAAGGCAATAGAGAATTTCCTCTACCATGACCAGTGTAGAAGGGGAAAAAACTGCTAGTTGACAACAATTCTGAGGAGAAACACAGGCTGAGAACCCAGGACCATTGAAGGAAAAAAAGAGAAACACAGACCAGCAGCACCTGGAGTGACCCTGGGGTTTAGCAAGCAGGGGTCCACGCAGGCTTTCCTGACTCTCACCCTGTCTTCCGTCTGTGTTGGTTGTGCATGTGGCTTGCTTGAGGGCTCTGGTCCTTAGGGTAGATGCTGGACATTTTGAGATTGAGGAGCTCTGCTCCAAAGTGTTCGTGAGCTGCTCCAGAGGGCGGTGACCAGTAGCAGTTTGTAATGTGAATAAGGTACAGATTCGAACCCGCGCTGTCATAGCGAATTACTTCAAATTACTTACGCAAACCAGCCGAGCCAGCTGCCCAGGGACCTCACTGAGGCAGTTTGTGCTTTTTTCCATAGTTTCTACCGTCCATTAGTCACTCCGGTGCAGCTCTGTGTTAGGAATTTTGATCTAGTGAGTCTTCCTCAAATGTCAGTGATCCATTGTATCCCCAGATTTTTCAGTTTGCCTTTGGTGTAGGTAGTTCTTCCCAGAATTATTTTATCAAAAGAATAATATGTGTTCTTGTAGAACATTTAAAAACAATACTTAAGCAGAATTTTTTTAAACATAAAGTGTTTTTATCTTTCCCACCCATGATGTTTATTTTGTGTTTTTTTACCCTTACTTTTTGTAGCCAAAGTGGACTTTTTGGACTCTGCACTCTTAACTGCTTAACTAGGTGTAGCAGATTTGATTGTTAAATCCTCTCTATACAAGAGGACATCATTATTACAAGATTTTTGCTAAGAATGTACATTCTTAAAATTAACTTAATTCTTGTGATAATTAATGTAAAAGGTACAGTGTTTCCTCTGAAAGAAAAGTCAACTCAAAAGCCAGGCTAACACGATTAATAACAAGCATATTGTAAATACCTGAAATGTTATACAGCTGATTGGTATAAAGAGGGTGCTCCAGCCATCTCAAAGTCAGTGGTGGGCACAGAGCTTCTGAGTTCCATGCTGTACAAAATAAGTTCATTCGTTTGAATGCAGCATTGAATTTCACTGCAGTAATATAGGAATGTGAGCAGGCAGACGAGATGATATATAACATGCTAAAAATGAAAAGTGTGAAGGAAGAGCTTGGTTTCGTTTGCTTCCTGGCTGGTTTCAGAGATGCTGTCTTGTAGAGAACACAGTCAGGTCTATGAAGATATGGTTCATAGAAGTGGACACTTAGCTCTCCTGGGAAGAAAGGCCTTCCTTGGTAGGTGGGGAAGTCAGCGCTTCCTCGCGAGCACAGTGTTAAAGGACGTGGGTTCCTTGGACACGGACCATGGGAGTGAATCCTCTTCTGCTCAGAGTAGGGGAGGGACCGTATCGCAGGCTTGTATAGTGTTCCTAATAATTGAAAAGCTAAAAATTTTCTGTATTTAAACATTCATTGTTATTACTGAGTAAAAGAATTTTTAAGATAAGTGTGTACTAATAAATGATACAGATCATTAATGAAAAAAATCACCATTTGTAGTATGCACACAACAGTATTATAAACATGAAAGTGCCAGAGTTTCTCCTTTATTACAAACGTATTGCTCAATATGAATTGTACTTCATCCCAAATAGTAGAATTCGAATTAATAATATTTGATTGCATGGATATATATAAACTCTTCCAAGAGCAATACTGGATTTATTTGAATTCTTTAGCATAGTAACTTACTATTTTAATTAATATTTAGCATAATTTTGAGGAAGCTTTTAAATTTAATTCTTAATCATTTAAATACCTAATTTTTATTTATATTTATTTTAGTTTATGATTGAAATAAAGAATTCTGCCGTGTCTTGTATACCGACTGATTGGATTAAGGTTGGAAGGTAGGTTTAAATATATATATAATTTATTTATTTTAATTTTTATTTTATTGATTATGCCATTATAGTTGTTCTATCCCCCCCTTCATTCCCCTCCACCCTGCACCTCCACTCCCACCATTTCCCCCCTTTAGTTCATGAACACATGTCTCAAATTCTTTAGATTCTGTATTTCCCACACTATTCTTGCCCTCCCCCTATCTATTTTCTACCTACCATCTATGCTACTTATTTTCTGTACCTTCTCCCCCCTTCTCCTCCTCCCGCTCCCCTGTCGCTAACCCTCCATATGATCTTCATTTCTATGGTTCTGCTCCTGATCTAGCTGTCCTCTTAGTTTGCTTTTGTTTTAGGTGTGGTTCTTAATAACTGTGAGTTTGCTGTCCTTTCACTGTTCATGTTTTTTATCTTCTTTTTCTTAGGTAAGTCCCTTTAACATTTCATATAATAAGGGCTTGGTGATGATGAACTCCTTGAATTTGATCTTATCTGAGAAGCACTTTATCTGTCCTTCCATTCTAAATGAAAGTTTTGCTTGATAGAGCAATCTTGGATGTAGGTCTTTGGATTTCATGACTTGGAATACCTCTTTCCAGCCCCTTCTTGTCTGTAAGGTCTCTTTTGAGAAATCCGCTGACAGTCTGATGGGAACTCCTTTGTAGGTGACTGTCCCCTTATCTCTTGCTGCTTCTACGATTCTCTCCTTCATTTTAATCTTGGCTAATGTAATGATGATGTGCCTTGGTGTGTTCCTTCTTGGGTCCAAGTTCTTTGGGACTCTCTGAGCTTCCTGGATTTCCTGGAAATCTATTTCCTTTACCAGATTGGGGAAATTCTTCTTTATTATTTGTTCAAATAAGTTTTCCCCTGGTAGCTGTTCCTTTCCCCCTTCTTGTACCCCTATAATTCGGATGTTGGAGCATTTAAAGATGTCCTGGAGGTTTCTAAGTCTCTTCTCATTTTTTTGAATTCTTGTTTCTTCATATTTTCCTGTTTGGTCATTTTTTCCTTCCTTCTGGTTCACTCCCTTGATTTGAGTCCCAGTTTCCTTTTCATCACTATTGGTTTCCTGTGCAATTCCCTTCATTTCAATGAGTTTAGCCTTCATACGTTCCTCTAATTTGTGACTAAAATCAACCAGTTCTGTGAGGATCTTGATCACCAGTGTTTTGAACTGTGCATCTGAAGGTTTTGCTATTTCTTCATTGCTTAGAGTTATGGGCTCTGGGGCTTTGAGATCTTCTTGAGCCATTTTTGGTCTGTTCGCGCCCATTAAGTATGAGGAGTGGAGCCTTAGGGGCGGGGCAGGGCCACCAGGGTGGGGTAGCTGGGTTGTGACGCTGTATGTGGTGACGGGGTCAGAGTGGGGAAATGGTGTCCCTCTCTGCTGCCTCCCACTGCTGGGGCTTGCTCGGTCCCGTCTCACTGCCCACTCCCTCACCGGTCTGTCTGCGCAGGAATGCGCCACCACTGTCAACCCGCTGCCCTGCCCGTTGCTCACTGGGTCGGCCCATTGCCACCCCACGCCTGGGATCCACGCGCCTGAGTCCGTCTGACTGAATTTTCTTGTGCAACCCTGCTCCACCAGCTGCTGGCTTCGCCCCTCTTACCGGTCAAGCTGAAGAATTCATTGTTATCAGACTTACGAAAAGTTCAATTTTCTGTGTACTGGCTGTGTTTTCTGTTGCTAATTTTTTGTTGTCTCTAAACTTGGTTGTGTGAGAAAGCACGGCGTCTCCACCTATGCCTCCATCTTGGCGGAAGTTCTAAAAATATATATTTTTAAATTAATATGAATGATAATGGCATTTGTAATCTGTGTTCTACTGACTGATAATAACCACATCCTTGCCATAAGATGCCATTCTTACCCTTCAGTTTTTTTTAATGGAACTTTAGCCAAAGAAAAAATTATTTTTAAATCTTTTTATTATTAATTTAAAACATTTCCCAAAGGGCATTTTATTAGTAAACATTTGTTTTCTTGATTTGTAAATTGCTGTTTTATTTTTTGTCTCAGAGTATACTTTAAACACATGAAAGAAAAAAGTCGAGGAACCTTCAATTCTAAGATTAATTTGGTTGCTTGAATTTCTTGATGAATGCAGTACTTGTCATTTCTTTTGTGAAGCTGAAATTTCATTTTCTACTTCATTGAGCTCTGCATTTCTTTATTCTCAATGCTTTCCGTGGCTCAGTTATACTAGTTCATTACATCTTTTTTTTTTTTTTGAGTTATATCATGAATTGATGAAAATAAATTAGAAACAAAATTAGAGAACTACGTTGAGACTCTGCCTTTTTCCTTGGTTGGGCAAAGAGGGGATTTAGAGAAGTGGTATTAAAGAAGTGTATCCTCCTGTGAGTAGTATCCTGTGTGGAATATTTATTTCTACTGTTATTAATATGTTTGCATGAATTTGAAATGAAAATGTTGCATTTGCCTTAGGTAGTAGCTTGTACTTAGGTAGAGTGACTATAGCTGGTGACGGTATGAAAGAACTCTGTTAAGAATAGACAAAAATCTTGACACAATTATTAATTTGTCATTTTAATTAAAAAGTTATTATCCATTTCCACTATCAAAGGATGCTGAAGACACAGTTGTGCATTTCTGTAACTCTAAATGCCATCCTTTTTTCCCTCTATGATACCAGAAGCTACAATTGGCATTCGAGTATTGTTCATTTTAGGAGATGCTGTTTTCTTTTTGCAGGCATTTTTTCCCTTTATTGACTTTTGTCCTGTACTAAAGCTAATGAGTGGAATTATGCTTTATGAAGAGAGATTACTAGAAATCATGTTAGCTTATGTAGAACAGTAACTGAAATGTCTCACTAAATGGTTTTTTTCAGAAGGGAAACAACTATGATAGATACGTTTGCATAAACAGCTAGATGACATCATTTGAAAGCAACAGGCAAGGCATCAATCAGTACCAGCATCTTTTGAACATTCAGTGATGTAAATTGAAAGAATAAGATGGTTTGGGGAAGGTTCATTATAATTTTTAATCTGTTGTTTGGCCATTGGAGTCCTGACAGGGATAGGCTAGAATACCATTAGTTAGATTTTTAATGTGAAAGGGTTACCCTTAGTCCATTAACTTGCCAGATTACAGATGATTGTGACAGTGCATTGCAGGGGTGGGGAGCTAACAGAGTACACTCTGTCATCACCTGCTTATCACTCAGCCCTGACCTTTCTTTCTTGAAGGTCTCATCATAGTAGCATCATTCATCATAGTAACAACATCAACATCAGTGACCACCACCATGACCATCACAGAACGAGTCCTAATGTTGAGTACTAATGATGAGGTGCTGTTACCCATTATCTGTTTGATCCTCTCAGCAGTACCTATGAGGTAGATACTATTATTATGCCCATTTTATGGATGAGGAAAGTGATGGGTAGAGGTCATTTATATTTGCCCAAAGTCAGTCCTATAGCGAACAAGTAAGTGGCAGAGTTGGGCCTTGGCCCAGGTTCGGTGACTGGGGAGCCATGGCGTCCCCCACTCCACTCTACAGCTTCCCGAGGAAGCAGAGATTCTGCGCAAGCTCAGGGAAGGAGCTCACGGTATTCCTTTCTATACAGGGTCACTGGGAATCTACAGTTGGGTCATGAGAACTCTTTGCCTCCTGAATTAATGCATTGCTATTCTTCATAATGTTTTATATTTTTCTTTTTTCACTGACATGCTTAAATGATAGAGAAAAGCATAAAATATAAAGAATTATATGGCCTTCACTAATGAATCCACCTCTGAGCTTTGTCAGGACTTTTTTTTTTGGCAACATTTGCTTCTGATCTTTTTTTTTTTTTTAAGCACTCATTTTCATTTAGTACAATTTAAAGAAAAAAGCTTTCTGCATATGAAATAAAAATTCTGAACTTTGACTTTGCCATATGGGTGTAATTTGAAATGCATTTTAAAAGCTTCCTGAACAAAGTCCTATGAACTCCAAGTACTTTATTTACAACAAAGATCTTTGGAATCAGTAGGGTTCAGGGCCGTAATTAAAGAATGTTTTTTATTTACAGCTATTTACTTTCAAGGTTCATCAGAATGATAAATAACTACTTTAATTTTTATGAAGAGATGGCATTATTAATTTCTTAGTAATCTTGATTTCCTATTTTTGTTTCCCCCTCTTCTAGCACAAAAGCTGTGAGCCGCTTTCACTCTCCTTTTATTGTAGAAAATTACAGACGTCTGAATCAGCTCCGGGAGCAACTAGTCCTTGACTGCAATGCTGAATGGCTTGATTTTCTAGAGTGAGTTTACAATGAAAAATGTAATCTGACTTTTTGCTATGAGAAATAGACTGGAAAGTCTTTGCACCAAAAAGAAAAGTAGAGATTACTGCTTGTGACCTGCCATCGAATAGTTGAGTACATGTGTTCTCTGGTTTTGTTTTTAATCCATTGAAATGAAAGCTTGTCTTGAGTCTTTGGTGAGAGACCAGGTATACTGTATTGTTACTGTTCTAACATTTTGTTGCTAAGGATGTTTAATAGAATCATTTTTATGAAATTCACCTTGGACTTTGTTTACTTTTTTTTTTAAAAGGCTTAACAGTTTCAGAGTAGAAGTATGGGTTAGTTGTTTTGTTTTCTTCCTAACTTTTTATTTTGAAAAAAATTTAAATTTATGCAAAAGTTGAAATGAAGACCTATGTACCCTTCATCTAGAATTATGAAGTGTTAACATTTTGCCATATTTGTTTTACGTCTCTCTCATACACCTTTTTTCCTGAAACATTTGAAAGTAAGTTTTAGATATCATTAACACTTCACCCCTAAATACTTAAGTATACATTTTCTAAAAATAAGGACATTCTGCTATAAATCTTAACATCATTGTCACATCTAAGGCAAAATTACTATTAATTTAAGAATATATTGAATTACTTCCCTCATTTTTCAATAAAAGATCCAGTGGACTTTAATACACTGCATTTGGTTATTCTGTCTCTTTAGTCTGTTGGAATCTGGAATAGTTCCCCACCTTTTTGTTTTTTATGATACGAGATTTTTTGGAGAGTACTTGCCATTGTCTTAAAGCATGCCTCATATTCTGGATTATTAATAGCCATGTTCATTGACAAGTTTAAGTCAGCAGTGTGCTGGTAAATGATTAGCATCTGGCTCACTGGAAGGGTAGTAAGTGTGCGTGGTGTCTGCTGACTTCTGCAGTGACTGGTTTGAAGCTGCTGCTGGATGGGAGGTGGGAAGAGATGTGCACAGTTGACTTCCATGAGTCCGTGGACACTGGCTCTGAACTGCTGCTCGTCCAAGCACTTTAATATGTAGCACCTCATTGTTCTTCCCGAGAGCCCTGTGCATGAAGTATTATTATCACCCCCAGTGAAGGAAATGATATGCAGGCATAAGAAGTTTGCTCACAGGTTGAGGGTTGGTGCCCAGGTTCAAGCCCAGGGTATCCGACACTAGGGTCTGGACCCTTTACTCTCAGGCTATCAAGGCTGCACATGATGAATCCACAGTCATCTCTTTAAACAGAAACCTCTCTGTTAGTCTTTCTCTTTAAAAACTCAAATAGTAAATATTCAGCGAGTTCCCTCACAGAGCTTTATATATATAAAATAACCAGTCTGACAAATGAAAAAAAATAAAGAACAAAAAAGGATACTGTGTGACAGTTTTTAAAATGTTGGTGTCATCTTTTTGCCCAGAAAAGTGTTGAATTATAGGACCAGAAAGAGATTGTGATTGACTTATCCTGAGTCTGATGAGGTTATCTTGACTCGGAGTCTTGAACCCAGGGGTGAAAATTTGGTTTATTCAGTTCCTTTCTCAATTAACTTTCAATTTCCCATTTTAAGGCTTTTCAGGGCCCTTGAGTTTCTTAGATCTTTCGGGTTTTCCCTTAGTAGCGTCACCTAATACATGAAAACTAGACTGAAATGACTTCTTTCAGGCTTCAAGGGCCAGGTTCTAGGCTTCTGGGATTTGGTGAGGTGATTCATATTCATCCTATTCATAGCATACATGATTTTATGAATCTGGATTATGTTATCCCTACCATTATTCTAGACTAAAGAAAGTCCAGGTCTTCCAGGCTAAAGACTTGGGCATTCTCCTTGATTCTTTTTTCCTTGTTGTCCCTTTATCCATTATCAGATACCTGCTTGCCTTTTTCCCTTTGGAATATCCCTTTGATCTGCCCCTTCTTCCTCTTTCCCTCTGTTAGCCACCATTACCTCATACCTTTCTTACTGTATCAGCCCTCTGCCTGGGCCCTTATGCCAAAATAATTCAGGAGAATTCTACTTTCATCGTATCATCCATCTGATGTAGTTCAGAGGTGCAAAGAGTGAGCCAACGTTAAATGTGACATAATGAGGTTATGATACTCGTGATACACTGTTAACTGAAGGATGCAAAACAATATTAAAGTATGATACCATTGTGTGCGTAAATCACACACATGCACAGCATGCAAATCTTTCTGTTTTTAAAAACAAAATACATATGCTTATTGTTCATTTGTTTATATTTTGGAGAAATGTCTATTCACATATTCATATGTGTGTATATATAGTCTCAAATATTAATTGATTATTTCTGAATGGAAAGCTTTCTGGAGATTTTAATTTACTTTGCAAATACATGATTTCAGAAGTTTTTATAATATCCATATATTACTTTAAATATATTAAAGTTTTATCTTTAAAAGAACACTGACTGAAATTTAGAGCCTTTGCAGCCAGAGCTCCCGCTTGTGAACAGCACTGATTATTGTGTCAACTATTGATCAAGGTGCCAGATGGTATGAATACAACATCATTTAAAGTTTGTGAACCTCAGCGAGCCTAACGTCAGAGGACTGATGACCAGCTCTGCTGGTGTGTGTGTCTCTTCCTGAGCTACTCATCGTGGTGCACTAGTCACATTACTTTAGATCAGAATACTTCAAGAAATCAAGAGTGGAAGAAATTCGATGACTGGAGCACCTTCTCAAAAAAGTCTCTTCTTTTGTGTGCTAGAAGATGGGCTGTGGATATTGAATAATCTTCTCAATCACAAATATTTTAAAGATTGAATTATAATGTCTTTCATATAGTAACTCAAGCAAAAAATCAAAAGTATTTTCCATTTTTTAAACTTCAGATATCACTGAGCAACATCTGTCCTAACAATTTTAGAACCCAAGTATCTTCATTTGCTTCCCATGGGCCCAGCAGGATCTTTCGACCAGAAATTAAATGATAGCACTTTGGCTTCATCCTTAAGTTGGCTGGTGGTTTAGTGATAGAACTGCATGTTGTTATGACATATGCTCAATCTGTCAGATTGTTAATCTGCATTTGCCCAATTTTCAGCTGGTAATTTTACAGTCTTTGAAATTTGGCAATGTTTGGAAAATAGATAAGTAACAAGAAGTCAAAACAAGGCTTCATAAGAGTTATGATGATGTTTAAGATCATCATTTTTTATTTTATTCATGACAATATATTCGACATAAGAAAGAACATTATTGTCCATATCAAAATAATTACCTTATCCTTCCCTGCTTTTTTTTTTTTTTTTAACTGAAATGGTCCCTATTGAGAACTATGTCACCCATTTCAATTCTGGAAATTTAGATTATCATTAGGTACAGTTACCCTTAAACTGGGCAGTAACAGATTGGGGTTGTGGTGGTAAGACCTGAGAAGGATGGAGTTAGAGGAAGAAAAAAAGGACTCTGTAAGTGCCAGAGGCCATTTGACACTCATATCCACAAAAAAACAAGGGCAGAAATATCGAGTGTGGCTGCTCTCTGGCAAAAGAGAGTGTGCCGGGACAGGGAGGCCCAGTGGGTCAGTGGTAGGAGCAGGGGACAGAGTAGGCACAGTCCAAGGGGTTAGTGCATCGATAGCTCAAAAACTGATGCCAGGCCAGGACGGAGCAGGCACAGTCCCTGGGCAGCCACCACAGGAATGTTAGGTCCATGCAGCATGTGGCATCTTCAGAAATAAGAGGCATTTTTAAGGTGGCAGCTGAGTGTGGCCTGTCAGATGCCTGGGGGGGCCAGTCTCCTTTGTGTTTGGGGCTTCACACGACTCTTCACACAGCTAGTGGGGTTCATGTGATTTGTTTTGATGGACTTCAATTCAGTGGGAAATAGGTAAATTACATTCATTATGTTCTGTGTACTCAAAGAAGTATAAAATATACTGTAAATACACTTTTTAATTCGCAAATAGTTAACAAAAATAAAGCTGGATACTTAAAATGTTTTTACTATCTGAAAAAAATATTTACGTAGAATACTTCTCTAATGTTATGAGAAAGATCAGAAATGACAGATTCTAAAAAATTCAATACAGTGGTAATATAGGAATAACTGGTCTCATAATAGCTTAATCTGGATATCCTTTGCAGGTTATGAAGCACTCCAAAAACTTTTTAAGAACCAAACAGACTAAACCGAAAGTCTCTGAAACCCACAGTACAATAGAGAAATCTGTTCTAACAGAAGCATTGGGCATAATGCTCTCTTTTGGGAGGGAACATTATTTAGAAGGCTGTAAAGGAAACCTGTGCTGCGAGATACCAGGGTGATTTAAGAGAGGGGGGGGGAACACCTGTGTACGTTCTTATATTTTTGTCTGAATGATTCTTTCATTAAAGACTTTTCGAAGCTTCTAGACCATTAGCTATTTAATTAGCCAAAGATTCGAGGCAATGACCATTATCTTTTAAAGACAAATCATAAAAATAAATTTCTGTATGCACTATTAATAGGGTAACTGCAGATCACTGAGAAAAGTACTTTTCTTCTTACTTGCCTTCCAGGTTATGGACTAGATGTTAGGGCTGTAATGATAGGTAAATCAGATGGATATGGACTCCACCATGGAGAATCTTCCAGTTCAGTGTGAGAGCAGAATATTGAAACTGTTACTCCTGGTTTGCATGATGCCATGAAGGAGAAGCACCGAGGGAAGCCGGCCCCTCTGGGTAGTTCGTGATGTCAGTAAAGCTGAATGAAAATGACCCCTGCATTTCACTCGTTGTGTCTAAATTAAAATGTCATGGAGAGATGAAATGTACAACGTGTTATTAAATAGTAGACATTCTTGTATAAAACGGTTCTATGTATATATAATTCTATCCAAATGAAACAACGAGAAGCCTCCGTAATCAAATTATTATATTAAATAGGGAAGTAGTTCCATGTAATTTCTGTCTTTCTTTTAACTGCTAGTTATGACTGGCCATTTTGTTTTAGCTTATCTTAGCTAATAAAGTGCTTACTATACAGCTTTGAGAAGCCTAAGAAACCACCGTTGCTCACCTTTTCCTGTTGCTTCTGTAGGCACTTCAGTGAACATTATCACTCCTTGCATAAAGCAGTGCATCACCTAGCAACTGTGGACTGCATTTTCTCCTTGGCCAAGGTCGCTAAGCAAGGAGATTACTGCAGGTAATTATATTTTTTATCTCTCCCCTATTTCAATGCTTTAGGTCAGATGACATTATTCAATCAGTTTTAGTGTCGTTATTATAAAATACTGAAATTACTCAAATATGTTGGACTCTTGGTAAAGCTGAATGTCATACACATAGCTTGATTTAAAATTAAATTCCTTTCTTCTTTGCTGTATCACTAAATACAATGAAAGCAGGTGTTCACTATAACACTAGAGATGAATGTTACATATTTCAATTTTTAAGTTTATGTGGTAACAGTTTATAAAGGTGCAGTCCTGCCACCTGTTACTATTCACTTAAGCACTTTACAGTGTATTTAACTTGATAGAAGTCTCCTTAAATATCGAAGTCAGATGTGTGTGACACTCAAGGTGTCAGTCATCCTGAGGCTGACTGCTCCCTATTGCTGTCAAATTACTGTTCCTTAAGTCCAAAGCCTTAAACTTGAGCCAGTCTTTCTACTCTATTCTTTGTCCTTCAGGCCCACTGAGATTGGGGTTAGGGGTGGTGGGAGGTGGGTCCTGCCGTCCAGGTCCTCTGGATGTCTGTCCTGTTCCCGTAGCTTTTTTGGGCAGCGATCTAGGTTCCCAGGAGTCCAGGCCGCCCTGTTCCCACGGTGGCTTGGTGCCTGGGCCCACCCCTGGGGGAGCTCTCTGGGTGGCTCCACTTCTGTGCATAGGCTCGCTCCTGAGGGAACCCCTGGCTGGAATTTTGTGCCAGTGGCATTCTTGGCTCTCAAGGGCATTGCCCTGTCTGGGCTCTCTGGGTCTCTTTTATAAGAGTACTGTCCCATTTGTGAGGGCTCTGCCCTTGTGACCTGATCAGCTTCTAATATCATCACATTAGACATTAGGTTTCAACATAGGATTCTTGGAGGGAGGCACAAATGTTCAGTTTGTGGCCCAAAGGCTCAGTCTTTTCATATCCCTAAGAAACATTACGAAGTATTTAATTTGCTGGCTTATTATGAGGACCGAACGAAAAACACAGAGGAGATGTCTGTCAGTGCCTGTGGGCACACAGAGTTTATTAGCAGAGATGCTCTGCTGTTCATACTTCCTTCATGTCTTGCTTTCCTCTCTGGTTTGTACCAAATACCTTTTTTAACATTTAAATGTCCTGCATGCCTAGCACAGTACCCATAGTGGTTGTCAAAAATTGTTAGTTTAATATAAAGCATGTATTTATTTGTGGGAGGAGAGTTGAAGGCTATGCCATTTATGGGCTGAGAATGTGCTCGGTTTGCTGTTTTGTTTCATTTCATTTCGTTGTCCATTTACGCGTTGAGTGTACCTACAGTGTCAGGCACAATAGTTTTGTTTAAAATAGGATCTTTGCATTTTCACTTTCATTTCTTGTCACCTCAGAGGAGTCAAACAGATTTGCCTAATCAGTCACCTATAGGCATTTTAGAACTCAAATGCTACATTGTGGTAAATGGAGGAAAATTATATTCTATTCCTCATCTATAAAAATGAGATATATGAATTTACTCTAGCTGAATCTAGTTCTGGAAAAATGAGAGTCACTCTTCAGTAGACTTGGTTTCTTCCTTATGTATTGTGATCTTAGTAGGAGTTCTTTCTCGTTGCACACCATTTGTGAAACAGACTTTCCCTAATGGATTCTGTTTTGAATTAAGCAGAGGATTGGCTACAGCCTGTGCACTTAATGTGTTCAGATGAAGCTCTTTCCATTGAAGAATACTCATGCCTGGCTTATGCCTTCTTATACTTCAGGTGGCCTTTGCCATTTGCTGCTGATGATGCTATGGGTTGCGGAAAAAGAAGGACATGCATGTAGTCTGCCACAGCACACCACAGTGAACACTTCATATGTATATGTTTGTATGTGTATTTATATATATGCCCAAACATACATATTACACATGGTGTATAGTTTTCAGTGTGACATGGTAGTCAGAATCTAGATTTGTTGTCACGGGCTTGGTCTTAGCCCACCCTCTGTCACCAGCTAGCCATGCACTCTTATTTAAGTCTTATAGATTCATATGTAAAGTTGTAAGAAGGAACATTATGAATTAGTAAATAGAGTAAATGGTAAAGTTGTAGTCGATTTTTATTTAGATGTAGTTTTAGCCAAAACTCTGAGGAATAAAAAATATATATTTTTTATATCACTGTAAAAATATATGATTCATTTGTAGACTCATTAGAAAATTAACAAACAGTTTTAGAGAATCTGCCATATGAAAGTTTGGCCCCAGATTTTTTTTTCTTAAAAAAAAATTAATTATTGTTCAAGTACAGTTTTCTTTTACTCCCATCTCAACCCACCCCCTACCCCCCCAGTGCTCCCCACCTCCCTCCCATTTCCACCCCTGTTAGTTTTTGTCCATGTGTCCTTTATACTTGTTCCTGTGAATCCTTCCCCTTTTTCCCCTGAAATTCCCTCCCCTCTCCCCTCTGGTCACTGTCTGCCTGGTCTGTATTTCAGTGTCTTTGCTTATATTTTGCTTGTTTGTTTGTTTTCTTCTTTAGGTTCCCATTTTTTCAATTGAGTGTACATAGCCATGGAATAGGAAACTTTTATCTAAAATATATTTTAAGCTGGTATTTAAGTATCTGAAGTTTATACTTTTTCTCCTTAGATTTCCAGCTGGTTTAAAGATTTAGTGCATTTGAGGTGGAAATGGGAGGGAGGGGAAGGGCTGGGTGGGTGGGCTGGGATGGGAGTAAAAGACAGAAAACTGTACTTGAACAATAATTAAAAAATAAATTTAAAAATATTCTAGTGCATTTGAGCTAATTGGTCATGTTCTGTTTCTTGGGGCAGTGAAAAGAGAAAGATGCAATTTTAAAAACATAAAATAAATTAATAAATTCATCAAGTTTAATGTTTCCCTCCTTCCGTGCAGCATCCAGGTTCCCTGTGATCTGCAGGTCCACAGGTTTCATCCGCATGATCTCCCTGCCTTTTTGCTGTAACTGTGCTGCCATCTCAGCTCTGTGAATTATTGTTTGCTTCTTGCTCTTATCAGGAAGTGTTTTGGCATTATATAATTTTGATAACAGAATAAGTCAGTGTAGATTTTAGAGCAGAACAAATCACTCAAAATTTTATTCTAAAGTAAAAACCTTCCTGGGAAATTGTATTGGTGTCATGAATATGATGTATTGATTTCACTTGGCAGGGCACCTTGGATTTTGTTTTTAAACTCGCATCATTTACAGATGGTTTCATTTTTTTTCTTTTACAGTACATTTGTAACCCATATAGATAAAAATTTTATTCTAAGAATTATACTCTAAAATTCAAAAACTGTCCTTCTCCTGTTGTCATAAATGTCTCTTTCCAAAGGATGGTTTCAAATTCTTTACGAAGATAGTTTAGTCACTTTCTTTGGGAAATGTGAGTGTATATTCTTAAGGTTTTGTTAGCCAGATATATTGAAGAAGAATTTCAGTCTTTAGGAAAGTAGTATTTCTTGGTGGTACGAGTAAATTCAGAAATGTACTTTTATGGGAAAGTTTAGTGTCAAAGAACTTGAGGAGGGCATTGATAGGGCCCTCCCTATCGATGATGATGAAAAAACGAGATGATGAAAAACCAGTGATGATGAAAATGATCAACAAATGGCCAAGAAATAGATGAAAAGATGTTCAGCCTTAGTAGTCATTGAGGGCAAATGCAAACAATGAGGTAACACAATTTACTACCAAATTATTAAAAATTAGAAATTGATAATACCAACTTTAGGTGATGATATGAAAAACCGATCAACTTTCATATCCTGCTGGTGGGAAGGTAAATTAATATAGCTATCTGTATCTATTCAAATGAAAAACATGCATGCACTCTGACTGGAAATTCCACTTCAGGAATTCCCTTTAGCTTAGAGAAAGACTTGGACATAGGCACATGGCCACGCATATAGGGTTGTTCACTGCAGCATTGCTTCAAACAGTGAAAAATCCGAACAGTCTAAATATTCAACAGTGGAGAACAGCTAACTCATCCACAGTGCAGAAGCTTGCAAAGAATGCTGAGGATCTGATAGATAAAGCTATAGGTAAAAACAAATATTAAAGCTGACAAAACAAGACTAGAAAAAGCAAAAAAAGTTTTTAGTATCAAAAAAAGTACCAAAACTTGCCAAAGACCATACCAAAATGTTTTAAGTAAATGAATATGAAAATTTTAAGGCATTCTGTGTGCAAGTCCAACACATAGTTTACGTTAATGTAATAATCTAGAAATGGTTTTGAAAAAGATTTTATTTATTATTTTTAGAGAGAGAGGAAGAGAAAGAGAAAGAGAGGGAGAGAAACATCAATGTGCAGTTGCCTCTCGTGCGCCCCCAACTGGGAACCTGGTCCACAACCCAGGCACGTGCGCTGACTCGGGAATCAAACTGGCCGTTCTTTGGTTTGCAGGCCAGTGCTCAGTCCACTGAGCTACACCAGCTAGGGAAAATCTAGAAATGATTTTATATGATTTTCTTTACTATGGTTATTACTGAAAGTGATTTAAATATCATTGATCTAAACTATAATTTTTATTAATGAAAATATCTTAGAGAATATAGAACTATAACAAAATAAAAGGGTCTGGTAAATGTAGACCTCTGTAGTAGAGCTGTAGAGCTATCACAAGACTCTGCTAAAGCTTATGCTTCAGAGACCTGTTATTAGAGTAATGTTCTTCCCACTTTCTTTGTATAGGGAAAATTTAACTTTTCTACTCAAAGATTTAATCTGGACATAGGTTCCTAAAGTTGGTGTTTAAGGTTTTGTTGTCTAACACACTAACCACAGGAAATTTCAGTGTTATCCTAGAGATTTTTTAACGGCTATTTTTCATGCCTGTTAAATTAAAACATGCTTCTTCTTACAGACCAACTTTACAGGAAGAAAGAAAAATCATAATAAAAAATGGCCGACACCCTGTGATAGATGTGTTGCTGGGAGAACAAGATCAGTATGTTCCCAATAGTACAAATTTATCAGTAAGTACTATATTATGCATAAAACACAAAAAAGGTGGTAGCATTGATCACAAACTTTTATATACTGAATAATGCTTTTTTCAAATTTGCCCAAAATTTAACATTGGCTTTAAATGCAGTAATCCTTTGTTTTAAATTATTTATTTATTTATTTTTAGAGAGAAGGGAAGGGAGGGAGGAGAAGAGGGAGAGAACCATCAATGTATGGTTGCCTCTTGGGTGCCCCCTACTGGGGACATGGCCACAACCAGCCATGTGTCCTGACTGGGAATTGAACCTGGGACCCTTTGGTTCACAGGCCAGCACTCAATCCACTGAGCCACACCAGCCAGGGTTATAGTTAATTTTTATATTTTATTTTATTGATTATGCTATTATAGTTGTCTCAGTTTTCACCCTTCTACCCCTTCCAACATTACCCCCCACTCTCTCGGGCAATCCCCTGCCACTGTTCATGACCATGGGTCATGCATGTAAGTTCTTTAGCTGCTCCATTTCCTGTGCTGTACTTTACATCTCCATGGCTATTGTGTAAGTACCAATTTGTAACTCCCAGTCCCCTCACCTCTTCACCCATTCCCCCACACCTCCCTCCCTTCTGGCAACCATTAAAACCCTCTTCATATCCATAATTCTGTCTCTCTTCTTGTTTGCTTAGTTTGTTTTTTTATTCAATTGTTAATAGATATGTATTTAGTGACATTTTATTGTTCATAGTTTTGATATTTTTCTTTTTCTTAAGTAAGCCCCTTTAACATTTCATATAATTATGGTTGGCAGTGATTAACTCTTTTAGTTTTTTCTTGTCTGCCCTTCGATTCTAAATGATGGCTTTGCTGTGTAGAGTAATCTTAGCAGTAGGTCTCTGCTTTTCATGACTTCAATTATTTCTTGCCAGTCCCTTCTAGCCTACAAAGTTTCTTTTGAGAAATCAGCTGACAGTCCTAGGGGAATTCTACTGTACGTAACTAACTGATTTTCTCTTGCTGTATTTAAGATTCTGTCCTTATATTTTAACCTCCGGTGTTTTAATTATGATGTGTCTTGGAGTGGGCCTCTTTGTATCCATCTTGTTTGGGACTCTGTGCTTCCTGGACTTGCAAGTCTATTTCCTTCACCAAATTAGGGAAGTTTTCCTTCATTATTTTTTCAAATGGATTTCCAATTTCTTGCTTTTTCTCCTCTCCTTCTGGCACTCCTATGATGTAAATGTTGGAGTGCTTGAAGTTGTCCTATAGACTGCTTACACTATCATAGTTGTTGGATTCTTTTTTCTTCTTGTTGTTCTGATTGGTTGATTTTTGCTTCCTTATGTTCCAAATCATTGATTTGACTCTTGGCTTTATCCACTTTACTGTTGTTTCCCTTGAAATTTTTTTAAATTTCAACTAGTGATCCTTTGTCTCTGACTAGATCATTTTTATGCTGTTGAGGTCCTGAGTTCCTTGACCATTCTTATAACCAGTGTTTTGAACTCTGCATCTGATAGATTGCTTATATCCCTTTTGTTTAGTTGTTTTTCTGGAGTTGTGATCTGTTCTTTCATTTGGGCCACGTTTCTCTGTCTCCTCATTTTGGCAGCCTCCCTGTCTTTGTTTCTATGTATTAGGTAGAGCTGCTATGACTCCCTCTCTTGGTATCATGGCCTAATGAAGTAGGACTCCTGTAGGGTCCAGTGGCATAGCCTCCCCTATTATCCAACCTGGGTACTTGATGTGTGCCCTTCATGTGGGCTGAGTACACTGTCCTCTTGTAGTTCAGCCTTGATGGCTGTTGGCAGATCAATGGGAGGGATATGTCCAGGCCAGTCAGCTGCAAGGACTGACTGTCACCACTGACCATCAACCTACACTTTCTGTGTAGGATCAGCTGTGCAGGAGCAGAGTGACGGTGCTCTAGTGTGGTCTACAATAGGGTGAAGACTTCACCATGAACTGAACTCACCTTCAATTTGTGCAGAGTCACTGGGCATTTTAAAGGTAGAATGAGAGAACAAAAATGGGCATTGGGGGGTGTTGGGAAGCAATGAGCAGATCTCCTAGGGAGATCTACTAGGGAAGGAGAAACTTGTAAAGAGCAGAAAGGGGATTGGTTAATGTGAAACCTGTCTGGGTTTACTAACTGGCAGCTGGCACTCATACCCTCTCACAGGGACTGGGAAAGAAACATTTGTATTTCAAAGAGATGGTTCTCCTGCCCTTGATAACTCAGTTGTAGGTAGGAGAAGATTTACATCTCAAATGGGCAGAGAAAAATTTATAACAGCAAGCTTTCTGAAGTAGCTGCTCCAAGGGAGGGTTCAGGGGCCTCTCTGCCTGTCACCCAGTTTTGTCTGGGACAAGCAGTAGCTTTGACAGTGTGGTATTTGCTCAGGCAGGCACGTTAAGGGTGGCTGGAGTCATCTGAAGGTCGTGACTTTGAGCCATTAGTTTGGTCTCTTAGTGGGGAGAGTAAATAAAATGATTTGTTCTGAGCAGGTGCAGTTTTTATAGGTCTAATTTGAGGCCTGGCTAGAGTTAGGTCAAAGAGAGAGTCTTTTTCCACATGGAGTAAATTAATCTGGTGATGAGATCAAAGAATTAACATGTAGGGCATAATTGCGTGAGAGAAGCCTTATCAGAGAATGAGATGCGTGGCTTTGAGATTTCAGAGGTTATGTTCTGGGTGATGGCAAGATCCTAGGTAGGGCCATAGAGAGTAGGAGATCGAGGAAGGAGCTTGGGAAAGGTCCGTGTGCATGTTGAAATTATCTGAGATAACTGTAGGATTTGTAGTGGGGGATGAAGGTTGTCCAGGTGTGAGATTTCAAGGGACGGAGACTGGCGAGCTGGAGGCTTGCAGATGTCTGCACCGAGGCAAGCAGAAACGGTGCAGCCCTAAAGAAACAGGTTTGGGAGAACCTCCGGACCCTGAGATTCTGACGGTGGGAAGTGGCGCAAAGCTCAGCCTCCAAATGAGGGGAGGAACAGCCAGGTTTCTTTTCAGTCAGTGTATGAAGGAGATGTTAGACATGAGGGTTAGCAGTGTAGAAGTATTGGGGAATTTTTCAGACGATAGTGGAAGAATTGAAATATAGAGGAGCAGTTGGAAATTAGATCAAAGAAAGGAAGCCAAGAATATTGGGGGGTTGGGACTGTGACAGTCATTCTGGCCTGTAAGCCAGGATGACCAAGGTGTGCGCTTGGCGAATCTGACTAGCCGCAGGGGTGGTAAGTGGCAGGAGCTGCTTTGAATTACATCTAGTTCAATGTTACGTTTCAATATCATACAGAGACTTTTGGTAGTATGTAACCCGATCCCCAGTGTCTATAAACTTGTTCATTCTCTTTAGAAAATTTATAAATTACTTAATTTATCAAACCAAGTTAATAAGTACTAATGCTTTTATTGTCTTTTAAAAGAAGATTATGTGAACACAAGACTTTTCAGTTCCCATAATACCAGTAGGGTATAGCTTTTCTTGAGACAGTAATATGATTGTAACAGTTAGTACCTTGGTTTATATTTCACTTATAAATTGCTCACACACAAAATTCTGTTACTGTTTCCATCCCCCAGCTCACCAGCCAGCTTGACTCCAGTGTTATTCTTGACATGGATTTTTTTTGTTTCTTTTTTTCCTTTTTCATTTTTCCTCTTCTCTCCTTTTTAAAAATAATCTATTATACTATTTAATAAAGCCAGATTTTAGGAATTAAAATAGCTTCCTGCCTAATGACAAGAATGTTTTAAAGGAACATTGAACTCTTATATTAAAATTTTTACAAAGTAAATGCAGTGATTTATTTCAGCAAGCACTTTGGAATATTCCAGAATATTCGATTCTTTTACATATGCTTTTTCTAACTTGAGTAGGAGTTGATATAGAACTGTTGCTATGGTGAAGTGCATTCTATTTTGCAGGGTATAAAGGGATAGTGTTAAAAAGAAATTACTATGTAAAACTCAATTTAAAATGTTTTTTAGGTGTTAATTATAAAATATACCCTGAAAATAATTTTCTGAAAGTCAAATGACTTGTTGCTTTTGATAATCATATAATTTTAAGCAGTGGTTTTTGTTACACGTAACTATAAGTATACTTTTCTGGATTTTATATTACATGAACTTATTATAGTGCTTTGAACAAGCCAACTTTCTGCCCACTTTTCCTCTCCTGGTTTTAAGAATACTTCTTTTTCACATTACACAATCTTGTATTTATATATGAGTTTTTTTGTCAGCATTATTTTATGAATATTTTGTTCTTATGGATTTTGACACTTGTTTTGTGCCAGTATTGTGCTAGATGTCAGGCTTCTGAAGAAAGGAATAAGCAGGCTTCCAGGGGTGGGGGTGGGGGAAGTCCTGCGCTGGGGGTGGGTGGGTAGAGGGATTGAGTGAAAAGGAACAAAAAGAGAGAGAAAACCTCATGGACACGGACAGCAGTGTGGTGACTGCCAGGGACATGGGTTGGGGGAGGTGGAGGAGGGCACAGGGGAGGTGAGTGATGGTGGATGGAGGCCCGACTTGGGGTGGTGAACACGGCACTGCCCAGATGGTGTGCTGTGGAACTGGGCACCTGAAGCCCGTGCACTTTGTTAACTAGTGTCGTCTCAATAAATTCAACAGAATAAAAAAAGAAGAAAGAGATATGAGGTACCTGCTTAATCTGGTGGAAGATGCACCCAATTAAGTGAACGCCAATAGAATGCTTTAAAAGACTACGAGGGAGCTAAGAGATTGCCCAGTAGAAAAATTGGCAAGAGCCTTCGCAGGAATTTCAAAGTAGAGGATATTTAAATGGTCAATAAAAAAAACTAACATTATTTTGGACCTGCTCTAGTAGGTTCCCTACAGGAATAGAGCAAAGAGCCAAATAGAAAGGCCCTGAGACTTGGAGGTGCTTATGGGGCCTTAGGTAGAAATCCTAATGTGAAGGTGGAGGGAATGGCCAGGAGAGGGGTCTGAGCTGGAGTCAGGGGGTTCCGAGGGGCCACCGTGCGGGTACAGGGACTTCAGGTTCTGGATCTGTCGCTAAGGCAGACCGTGCGGAAAGGTGAGCAAGGCTGTGGAAAAGGTCTGAGGCACCAACCCTGGAGGAATAGTTCCACTGAAAGGAGGCGTAAATGAAGAGACCTTTTCAAGAATCTCTTCCACATTTCCCCTATCCTATGTTTAGGATTTAGAGTTCCAGTTTAATCTGAACATAAAAAAGATGAAGATAAAAATACAATGGTTAACCAGATGCTATTGTGTATTCCTTCCTCTTCTTTTAACACACAGCCCTGCCTCTTCTAGGAAGCCTTGTTTGATTTCTCCAAAAAGCCTTGAAAGGAATGCTCTTTTAAACCCTGTTTTTTAATTCCTTTCCCTTCTCCGCATATGATCTGAGTATTTGTAGACTTAGCAGCCACTGGCTCTTCCCACCTCCGCCTTGCGCACCTCCAGTTCCTTCTCCACGTACATCCACAGGGCTTTTCCTAATGTTCCCCACCATTCTCTCACTTGAATTAACACTTTAAATTTCAGTTATATAGTCCCAAGCTACTGTGCCTCTGGGTCTGGGCAGATGGTATTCCCTCACACACACCCACACTCCACCTCACTCTCCTGCTTATTCTGCATGTCTTGTCTTGGATGTGACCCCTGGCACTAAGCCTTCTCTAACCAGAGCTGCTAGGGGCACCCCTATCACATACCTACACCGTCTGTGTCTTTCCTCATTTGAGTACTTATCCCACTAAGTTTTCATGACTTTGTTTTTGGCTTGTGGTTCCCAGGGAACTGTGGCCTTGAAGAGAACAAGGAATCCATTCCCCTGGTTTAGTGATAATCCCAGCATCAGTCAGAGTTCTCTGGCATGCAGCAGGCACCCAGTTGGGTTCCTCAGATAAACAAGGATTCACTGGAAGCCTTGAACCATGTCCAAGTCTCACTGTAAACTTTCTGTCCTTTTTTCCTTTACAAAATGTTATTTTTCAGGATGTTATATAGGCATTTTACAATTTACAGAGCAGTTATACTGTATAGCCTGAAGGGACATTAGGAATTATTTAGTGTGACCACCTCTTCATACTCATGAGTAATCCAAGAGTGAGAAGGGGGAGTTGACCTGCCAGGAGTTACCCACATTGGTAGTTGTGAACTGCTCCCCAAACATTAAGTATTCTGAGGTGAGTCAGTGCCGGCCAACCTCTTACGCTTCCCTTTTCCCCGGGAAGTGGTAATATTTTCACGGTACACTAGAATAGAAGGAGAAGAGAAAGGTTGCTCAGAACAAAAGGAGGTTGCCCCACCTGCCACCTGGAGGGTTAGGAGGAGGTCAGCATCGTGGCACACCTGTGACCCGTGACACTGCCTGGGAGATGCCACTGCACCCCACTGCAGCCCCGGGATTGTTTATTCAACCAAATGACTCTAATGGGTGGTTTGGTTTTTACAGCAGTCGAAGTTGGGGTTTTTAGTTTGTGTTTTTTAAAATATAAATAACACAAAATTACCTTATTGGGAGGGGGAAAGGGAAAAGTGTGGTTAACAGTTTTTCAGTTTGGGGAAAGGAAGGAAATGAGTCAAATGTGCAAAGCCGGAAGATTCCCAGGAAGCTCTGCAACACTTGGGTCTTTGTGGCCCAAGGCAGATGCAGAGCCCAGATGTTCCACAGTGGGGCGGGCAGGCACTGGGTAGACTCTGTGCCGCCGGCCCCAGCACCGTTATAGGTAAAGATGTGGCACATCAGTCAAAGATGCGGGAGCGCGGGCGGGGACCAAGGACCACAGTCTTCCCATTTCCACCCCTTTCCCAGGATTAATACTTCTAGCCTCCCCCGAAATGCTTACTTTGGCTATATAAAAGTTAAGACTCATTATAATAATATTCATAAGCTCTTGCCCCTTTGTACCTAATTGCCAAGAAGAACAACAATAATGAATGCTGTATAATATGTCTGAGTTTTAAGCTTAATTTAACTCTAAGGCTGGGTTATTCTCATAGATTTTGTTAGAAGTGTGTTTTTTGCATAGCGTGATCATTGCATCATATTGTTAAAAACTAGAGGAAATATTAATGGCATTTGAACACTGTATTCTGTATTCTGTCACTTCCCTTCTCAGGTGCCCCTTTCTTCTTGCTTCTAAAACAGTGAGAGAAGAAAAAGGGCATTTCGTGTGACACTTTTTAAAGTGTGTGACCTGCACTGCTGTCTCTACCCAGAAGGTTCCTCTCCTCCCTTCCGTCCCTCATCCTCATCCTTCAAGGCCCGCATGCACTGCTGCACCTTCAGAGTCTCACCATCACTCTGGCCAGATGCTGTCTCTTTCTGTTCTAGCTGGCTTTGAAATTGTTGACATGTACCACTTTTTGGTGCCTAGGTGTAGTAGTGGTACAGTGCCTAATGGTGATATGCGATGTAAATCCAAACCTTGGTCTGCCATCACTCTACTGTCGTCTTGGGTGGGCCACCATACTCGAGGGCCCTCAGTTTTCTTATCTATGAAATTAGGGGGTTGGACTGAGTGACAAGCGGAGCTTAGTGGAATGTAGTAATTGGGCCGCGCTGGGCACAGAAGGACTTGGACCCTCACCGCAGCATCTCAGCCTACGGCCTGTCCCCGCCGGCCTTGCTCTCCCCCTTAGTGTTTGTAGTTCCCCTCAGGTTAAAAGTGTAAGGATGTGGCTGAGGGTTTGTCTGGCGGAGACTTTCGCTAGAGTGTCTCTTACTGTAACCTGTCATTGATTGACATTTCAGGGAATAAAACACTTTGAAACTGCCAAAATTTTTCAGTAGTCTGCAGCTACTATAAAAATAGTTCTACCATGATTCCTTTTTAAAGATAGATGTTAAGATCTGTACCTGTCAAGGGAGAAAGTTTATTTTTTTATTTTTTTGTAGAAAATTAGCTCATGCCCAAGTCTTGGAAATTAATATCTGACTTTTTTTTTCTCTCTGCTGTGCATCTCTTGACTTCAGGGATCTTCCGACTGACTGTCATTCTGGTGTTCTCAGTGGGGGCCCAGGCAGGGGCCTGAGCTAGGGCAGCTCTTCCCTTATTTGGCAGCGACTGTAATTCCACGTGGCTGAGCAGGGCTCTCCCCGCCTCCCTGCTCCCACCCCCCCTGCCATGTTGAAACATCTGTAAGAGGATGAGCTTCACCTAACCTCCCAGTTCTGCTGCTGAGCAGCTCTTCTTTACTGGGCAAGGTACTTGGCTTCTCCAGGCTGTGCCTCGCACCTGTGATAGGGCAATACAGTGATACTAGTGATAGAGTGATGCTGAACTTTTATACCAAAAGAGGTTGCAAAATTCATTTACTGACTCTAACAGATTTCTTTAGATCTTCTGGGAACACAACCATGACATATAGGAATAATGATAGTTCCATTATTTTCTTTCCAGTCCTGTATTTTTTAATAAATGGACATCAAATTTTATCAAGTGGTTTCTCTGTATCACTGGAGATCAACATTTATTTATCTTCTTTATTCTATTAATGTGGTGAATTGTTGATTGGCTATCAAAGTTTTATGGAATCACTTGTAAATACTACGTAAGGGCCCCTCTGGCACAACAGTGAAACTGCCCTTTGACTCTCCAGGGGGACTCGGAGAGAGCGATGATAATCACTGGACCGAACATGGGTGGGAAGAGCTCCTACATAAAGCAGGTCGCACTGATCACCATCATGGCTCAGACCGGCTCCTACGTTCCTGCAGAGGAGGCGACGATTGGAGTCGTGGATGGCATTTTCACGAGGTAGAAGCGTTACTTCTATTTGAATATATTTCTGAAATAAATCAAGCCTACATTATCACATGAATTTTCTTTTTATGTACATATTTAAATGGACAGATATGCTCTTGAAATATTTAGAACTTAGGAGCTTAAAGAAATCATTTTATCATGTATGTAATACTAGGACAAACACATACTAGGAGATCATTTTGTCCAGTAGTTTTTCAGTTATTTTTAGTTACTGAATTCTTCCTTTAAAGAAAATCATATGTTCCCTTCAGCAGATTAGTATTTAAACAGAGAAAAGCAGAGGCGGAAGGCTCGGAGGGCCGCTGCGAGGCCGGCTCTGCAGGGCGCAGTCTGGAAACGGTCTTCGTGCCCCGGGAACTGAGAACAGAGGGAAAAGGGCGCTGGCCCGAGAGGATTTCTCATAGTCTTTTTACTCTAAGATCATTATGTGCAACTGACTAGGTCTTCTTCCTCAAGACAGAAACCGAAATTTCATGCCTGATTAGGAATATGGGTAAAATATCCTGGTCTCACTAACTAGAATTCATAGTTTAATCTATTCGTGCAGATTTATCAACTTAAAAAATTGTTTTAAACACAAGTATAGTTGGTATATAATATTGTATTAGTTATACTAGTTTTAGGTATACAAAACAGTGATTTGTCATTTTTATTCTTTATAATGTGAGCATCCCACTAATTCTAGTACTTGCTCACTTCAAACTTATCTCAATATTTTTTTTCAAAGAATTTTCTTCAATTACTGTTGACAGTCAAGACTGTGTTAGTTTCAGTTGTACAACATAGTGGTTAGACATTAGATTTGTTAGTTCTTAAAGTATTATTTATACTTATTACATTACATTTTTAGAAATAAGTGAATATAGTTTATAGTATATAGTCAAGCTAGGCATATAGAGTGTTCAATTTACTGTGTAGCTTCATATTTATTTAATATTTGACTGGAATCACATCAGGACATACCACGTGCTCATATCGATGTACTTGAATAGACCTTAAAACACTTGAAAGCTTGGTTTTTAATCTGAGAGCGAACAAAGTGAAGCAACCTCAGTTCTCTTTGATGCCATATTGCCAAAGAGATGTTATTGTGATCTCCACATATTTGTAAATTAATTCTACGTAGGAAATTTAAAAACTCTTCAGTTTTTAAAATTGTAATTAATCTCCTATTTTGTAAGCAAAATGCACTAGGTATTTTATTTTGGTTACATTATTAGGGAAAGTGACAGATTTAATAAAGAGAAAAAGGAGGGAAAAACAGGAAAATGAAAACACATTGTGGGTGTTGTAAGGTGTCTGGAAGAGAATCTTCTTAGTGAGGAGAACACCAGTTAGGAAGGTTTTTAGGTCCCAGTAATAGAAAACAAAATGAAGGTAAATTTTTCTCATAAAACAGGGCTGGAGATTGGTGGCTGCTTCTGCTGTTTCAGAGACCCTGCCATTTCCTTGGCCTTTCCCCTCACTGACATGCCCGTCCTGCTGGGTTTTCCCCCTGTTCAGCTGTCACCTGTCATTCAAGATCTCACTCGGACGCCTCCTCTCTCAGGAAGTCTGCCTTGAGTCCCATAGCCAGAGTTAATTTCTCCCATCTCTGTACTTCCACCTCCCATGTGTTTTTCCTCTTCTAAAGCTCTTAACTGCCTTCAGTTTTATAGTCATTTGTGTACATGGTTACACCCCTATTGCTGTGCTGTCTGTTCCCAGAAGATGAGTTTCCTATTTTGTACGTTCCTCTCCTCTCTCTTAACCTAGAACTTCGCATTGTCCGTGCATGACAGACACTCCATGCATAGATGACTGTTCCATTTCCATGCTGGAGTAGAAACTACAGTGCTATTAGGAGACTTCGGCAGTGGCGGTACCATTCCTTCTGTCACTCAGGAAGTGGCTGATAGGAAATGTGCTGACATAGAACGTGGGCTTTTTGTCCATGCTGATGGTATGAGGACATGCCTTTATCTCATGTTCCAGGAGCGCCTTAAAGTACTAGAGTGATTACTAATCACTGTGGAAAAGAAGAACTAAACTTATTTAAACCCTGCCAGCGCCAAATTCATCGTTGCAGTATAGTAGTTTCATTCTGAATTAACTCCTTCAACACATCCATTTATTTAGCTCCTTGGGGATACATTTCCGTCATCCAGCCCTGGCGGACCCATCCAGAGATAGTAAAAGGATGTTCTGGTTGCAGTGCATGAAAAAGAGCTGGTTACAAAGCCTGGCAATCCTGAATGAATCCACTTTTGTTTGAGAAATTACCTGTGTAAATATATATGGAGAAAACCATCTGGACAGAAGGCTGTTCCTCAAGCATCATGAGGAATATGGGATTCTGGTGACTTTTCTTTTGCTTATAAATATTTTTAAAACCGGAAATGAACATGTAACAAAAATACCATCTCCCCCTCCACCCGACCCACAAATTAATTAATCAGGGGCAGTATCAGTCAAAATGAGAGGTTGTACCAGAGTCTGGTGAGATGCTCCTGTGGTCACTGCCTGGGAGCACTTCTTTCCAGGGCAGGTTTCTGTTCTCTGCACAGTGGCACAGAATCTGGGGTTCTAGGATTTAAACCTTCCCAGGTACTTCAGTTTATCAGCCTTTACTTTTACAACAAGTTTTTAATTCAGTCTCAAAATAATGTCAGTCTGTCTCCTTCAGGAATTGATGGCTTTCTTTCTGGACCATTATAAAGTTGTCTTTACTTTTTGTAACAGAAACAGTGTCATTTGTACATCTAAGACAATGAGGTTTTTTTGTATTTTTTAAATTTGGGTGGCTTGGTGTGCTTTATATTATTTCCTTTCTTTTTTTTTTTCAGGTTTTGTTTTATTGTTGTTCAAGTACAGTTGTCTCCATTTTCCCTCCACCACTCCCCCCACCCCAGCCATCCCCACTTCCCACCCTCAATCTTACCCCACTTTGGCTTTGTCCATGTGTCCTTTATACATGTTCCTGAAAACCCTTCCTCCTTTCCCCCCTATAATCCTCTCCCCACCTCCCCTCTGGTTACTGTCAGTTTGATCTTAATTTCAATGTAAGACAAATGACTTTTAACTTTTGAATTTTTATGTAGGTTTTTTTTTTTCTTTTGTGGAGAGAAACTTTAATGTGTGGTTGCCACTTGTGTATTGCCTACTGGGGACCTGGCCCGAAACCCAGGCATGTGCCCTGAGCTTGTGATTCCCTGCTTCACAGTCCAGCGCTCAATCCACTGAACCACACCAGTCAGGGCTTTATAGAGTTTTTAAAAAATATTGGTACTTGAACTCCTTCAGTTGGCCTGGGCAGGGTCTGGAAGTTGAATTTTACAAGTTTCCAGAAGGTTTTGAAGTGCAGCCAAGGTTCAGAAGCATTTCCCTGACCCTTTGCTGGAAAGCTCAGTTGTTTAATTATAAAAGTAATAGATGTTTATTTTGAAAATGATATAATAGTACAACAGGGTATTAGGTAAAATGTTCACTTTCTCCCCAGGTCAGCAACTTTTAATGATTCCTTGTATAACTTTTTACAAATTTACAGGTATACATAAATCTTACCTTTAAAAATGGTATTATCGTAAGCATGATTATTACGTGCCTTGGTTTCATTTGCTAATACATAGGGGATTTCTTCTCGGCCTTTTGGCCAAGATCAAGTGTAGTACCTGATACTTGGGGAAGGTTCTCTGTCCATACAGGTTAGTCTCGCACCTTTCAGTGGCTGCAGCACATCTGCCGTGAGCCGACTCCTGCTCTCTCTGACCTCAGAGAGCTCCGCCTGGGATGCGCTGCTGTGGTGCAGGGCCCTGTCCCCCCCCCGTTCCGGATACCTTTGAAGAAGTCTGTGTGGATCACGTGCAGTTATGTCTCTAGGGTCTTTACTAGGATGTGGTTTAACAGTGTGCCCTGATATTTTTCATTTATTTATTATAAAATATTTCACACATAACAGTCTCCCATGTAGCTACCAGACTACTAAAGAAGTAAAGTGTTGCCAACACAAGTGAACCCTCGATCCTCCCCAATCCTCTTCCCCTTGACTCTATCCTGAGTAACTGCTCTTCTTAATTCTGGTTTTCATTCCATGAATTTGTCTATATTTCTACTATGTAGGTATCATTTTTGAAACAGTACATAGAACTATTTGGTATGCTTTTAAACTTTATATGTACCATATCACACTATGTATTCTGCAAGTGACTTTTTTCATCTCAGTATTATATTTATGAAATTCATCTGTATAGATGCATGTAATTCTGGTCCACTCACTTTTTCTGTAATGATGGTATTCAGTGTATACATGTATTATAATTTATATATTTTCCCTGATTGATATTTAACATGGTTCACATTTGTTGCAAGCACAGTCCTGATACTTGCCTTCCACACATCTCCTAGTGCACAGAAACGGATTTCCTGGATCCGGGTTTTCTCTGGGCACAGGACTCTGAAGGGTGAGGAAAGTGCACCTTTCCTGTTCTTCAAAAAGGCTGGACGAATTTGGAAGTCCACCAGCAGTGTGTAAAAGTTTGTCCTTGTGCTTTAAAAATTAAATTAGAGTAAGAAGTACCCACTTGATGACATTTCTGTATTTTCTCCAAAATTTCTCTTAAGAATATTTTCATTTTGTTACTCGGTATGTTTTACACGAAGTGCCACCTGATAAATCACTTCTTGTTAATGCTAAGCCACGTTTTCCTCTGCATGTGCACACTGTGCCTGTTCACAGAGATTTAAAATGGTTCATTGGCCTCCCTGCCAAGCCGCCAGGCCTCTTGTTATCAACAACGGCTGCTTCCTCTTCAGTTCCTTTCGGTCTTGACTGCCAAGAAGGCAAGAGCTGAATTCAAGGCTCAGGTGTGGAGGCACATTTGCGTTAGTTTTCCCCTTCTCTTCTTGCATGGGACTATGTCTCTAGTGTGAGTCTGGAGCAGCTGCATCAGAATCAGAGATGTTTGTTAAAAATGCTACTTTCTAAGGCCTGTCACAGACCCATTAAATTAGAA